GGCAATATGCTGACTCTGTAAACCGCTTAGAGAGGGCTGAAAGCCCTATGAAGCGGTATATAAGTCTAACTGCTATTGCTATTGCTATATTTCAAGAACACATGGTCAAGGAGGAGAAAAGAGGGCTTAGAATAGAGCAATCAGCAATATTCTGAGCCACTTTCCAATTGTCCAATTGCTCCCATGGAGGGCATTTTATTCTGCAGTTTTCCCAAAGTCCATTTTCAAGGGCCACCTTTCTTTGTTGGCTGCTTCTTCCTTGGGAAATTCTGGGTGGGAGTTATCCTCCTGCTGAGGAGTCTTACTCCTGAATCCTTTTCCCATATTTCTTTTCTAGTAATCCCTTGGGTTGGAAAGATCCCTTGGGCTGGATTTGGTGGAGGGATAAATCAAATAATCTATCGGTGAAGCATGATGATCAAATTCTTTTTTGTAGTTACACAAAGGGCATATTTTCCAAGGGGCAACTTTCCAGCCCTCTGAAACAGTTTAATAATATTGGAAGGGCCCTCGGAATTTCTCCGGTCCAACCTCCATATTTATTTATTTATAAATGTATTTATTTGCTGCCCATCTTACCATAGGGTAACTGGACAGTTTACAGTTACATCTAAGTGAAAACATAAAAAGTTAAAATCAAACCTTAAAACCAAAGTTACATGGGTAGAGTAATCAACCACCTCCATTATGCTGTTACCCCACGGGGGCCCAAGTCTACTGCCAAAGCCACATCTTTAGACCCTTAGATAAAGAAGGTTGGGGCCAAGCTCATGTGTGGGGGGAGAAAGATGTTCCAAAGGGCAGGAGCAAACAGCAGAGAAGGCCTTAATTCCTAAGAGGTGGCCATAAGCCTTCAATATTTGAAAATATACCATCCTTGCATGGGTGTATGCTTAGATGTTTGGGGGCATTGTGGCCTCATAAACTCTATTCTTTTGTCCATGTGCAATGTTAAAACACACATGGAAAAGGGCCATGTGTTGTATCTTGCCATGATCTGGCGTTCTGTTGAATTCACTCTATTTAATCCAACTATGGATAGCACAAAAATTTTGACCTGCACTGTCTGGCGGGCTCACCCTCTCAGAAGATTGAAGAGGGATATAGAAGAATTTTGATTGGTCAGAAAAAGATGGGCAAGGATAAAGAATGGAAGCAAAAATATGGATTCCTGCCCCATTATGCTTACATTTTTTTTTAAATGCTGGGGAGTGCGAACTGAGGCAATGGGGGACTGGAAAAAGAAATATTTCACCTATGTTTTCAGAAGCAGATAACAATTAGAGAAGTGTTTTTCACACTTGGCAACTTTAAGATGTGTGGACTTCAACTCCCAGAGTTCCCAGTGTAAATGGGCATGCATTTCAGTTGTTCGGATGAATTGAATTGAATTTATTATATTTCTATGCCACCCTTTTCCCCAAGGGGACTCAGGGCGGCTCACAACTCAAGTCAGGGTGGGGGGAGGGATACAAATAGGAAAAAAAGACATGGACAAAACAATACCACAATGTAAAAGCAACTCAACAGCCACCCCATTCGAGCGGGGACAGGAACTCATCAGCCCCAGGCCTGTCCGAACAGCCAGGTTTTAAGGGCTTTGC